TCACTGGTGCCAGTTTTATCTTTCCTTTACCCACTTACTGAATTTCCTTTCACCTGGATGAATAAGACTCATTTTGATTCACTTAGATTTAGTCAATTACTTGTGGTTTATAATGATCATCTTACTTTTACATGAGAGAAAGCTGGTGTGAAAGAAGGTGCTATGCAAAGTGAGACATATTTTACACAAGGAACTTCTTGGTTATAATGATCACGCTTCACATATTTTCTATTTGTTAAGGGACAAATTAGCCGCTTAAAACCATGTAGTGATTTAATCTTAAACAGATGATTTAGTCGCCCTGAATCCAAGTTTTCTCGAGCAAAATGAGGAGGATGAGCTTAAAAATACCCCTAAGAGAGGGACTTTCCAGCTATGGCTGCGTGAAGACCTTGGTGACTCCTCGCCACAAAAATAGAAATAATAAAACCGGGCAACAGTGCCCCAAATTATTTGGGCTTTGGAAATTGACCAAAGGCAGACAACAGATTCTTATTCTTAGGAAAGGTGCTAGAGCTTCAGGCGAGAATAGTGGAAGTCTATATCATTCTTGCATGAGGCCCCTATGGTGGCCTCCTGCCCCAGTACTTGCAGCAAAAGAGTTTGGAAAAACAGCAGCTTTGATGCCAGAGAGGCTAAGTCAGTTTGGGGCAATGAGAAGACTTCTGTTTGTCAACTAAAAGTGATGAAGTTGGTGGGAAATAGGGAAAACCCACATATTTGCAAGACCCTGGTTGAGGTGCCAGTGGGATGAGTGGGGGACCAAATGGGAGTTTAACAGGCAGGCCTTGGAAATGAGACAACCATCAAAGGATAAGCTCTCCACCTTTGTTTCTGGCTTACTGTGAAACTATGCCCATGTGCAGGTGGGACCTGAGAATGTCTAGCAGAAAGCAAGGGCCAAGGCCAACTCGAAAATGGCTAAGCCTGAATGTGCTCTTTCTAACCCACACAGAGACTGTGGATTCTCCACAAATACCTTGTGTTTCAGTTGCTTAGGGTGTTCACTGCGGTAACATGCAGTACAGGTTTGTAGCCTTGGAACAGCAGGCTATACAACACAGCCTACATGTTTAGTAGGCTTATACCATCTAGGTTTGTGTAAGTGCACTCTGTGATATTCACATGACAAAAACCACCCAATGACACATTTCTCAGAATGTATTTCTGTCATTAAGTGATGCATGACTGTGTTTAGTTATGTTCTTAGCATTTTTCCTGAGGTTTATAATTAGCATCATCATTTATAACAATGTCATTTTGATTAATACTGTTCTGTTGGTCTGGAGCCTACTGATGGTAGTGGTCAGAAATGTCTACAGTGCTTGCCCAGGCGCACATCATTCCTAGGGAGCTCCAGAGACATTTCCTGCAGCAGGGCCCTTATTTATGGTTGGGCCTGCTCTTTTGGTTCTTATTATGATTGTAGGACACACTTCAGCAAGGAGCCATCAGGGGATTTTGAGGATCAAGATTTATTACTTGAAGATTCTGGAGGGCATATGGCACACTCAAGAGCCACACAGCCAGACCACAGGTAGAGCGAGAATGTGGACTTGGGGCTCTGCCTTTAGTAGGGTCTTAAGGGGCTGGGGTTTCTAGGGTTTTGTGGGTTTACTTTTTATTGGTTAATTTAAAGCATAAGAGCAGGAATTAGGGCACAGGAAGGGAGAAATGAGGTCACCCAAGTGGTCAGTTATCTAGGTTACCCAGGACTTTCTGAAAGGGACCTTCATGGGTGGCGGTGACCTAGTTTCTTATCTGATTGTTTTGCTAGTAGCTGTGTCATATAGTTGGCAATATGTTTATTCAAGATGGATGTCTTTTGAAATAGATGTCTTAGCAACCAAAAGCTCAGTGTTAGACACACTACTATAAAAAAAGCTTGATGTCAGGCACTTCTACTACAAATACCAATTTAGTTTCAATGGTATATAAAAACTATTTCTATAATTATGTTGTTATTGTTCAAATTACACCTGTATATATTTTGTGTCCATAAGATTAATATAGATTTATAATTATTATTTTATGCAGTTGTATTTTCAATCATTTAGAGTTGGAGTACAAGCCAAAAATACAATAATACTGAATTTTACATTTACCTACATAAATACCTACCTTTATTGTGTGTTTTTTTCCTCCTTTAGTGGTGTTCTTTATCTCTTTATGTGATTTCAAGCTACTGTGGTTTCAAGTGCCTAAAGGACTCCCTTTAGCATTTCTTGTAGGTAGGTCTACCAATGACAAACTCCCTCAGTGTTCATTTATCTGGAAACATCTTAATTTCTCCTTCATTTTTGAAGGATAGTTTTGCTAGCTACAGAATTCCTGGTTGACAAGTTTTCTTTCAGCACTTTAAGTATGTTATCCCATTGCCTGGTGGCCTACATGGTATCTGATGAGAAATCAGGTGTTGATCTGATTAAGGATCTTTTGTACATAATGAATTGCTTTTCTCTGGCTGCTTTCAGGTTTCTCTGTTTTTGTCTTCTGACAATTTGATTATAATATGTCTTCATGTAGATCTCTGAGTTAATCCTATTGAGTTTCATTGAGTTCTATAAATGTCTAGATTTATCAGATTTACAAAGGATCAGCACTGTTATGTTTAGACTGAAATTTTAATCTCACCTTTCTTGGCCTGTGCTTCCAGTGTTAGCTCAGTTTTCAAAGACTTTGCTGTGCTGCTTTGGGTTTCTTCTGCACATGTGTAGCTTTGTGGTGAACTCAGTGTTGTTTTTTTTTGTCATTTCATATCCTGAATTAGGGGTGCTCTTTCCAGATATCTCCTTCAATCCTTCCGTCACACTCTTTGACCTAGAGGCCTCTTTTCCTGGTTGTCTGGATAGAAAGATGGAGTTTCTCTCAGAGTTATACCCTGTGCTATATATGCCTTTGCTGTTGTAGAGTTTGGCAGATGTTGGCTGTTTTCATGAAGTAGTAAGAAAAAGGTAATGGAGGTTCCTTGCACACTCTTTGGCCCACGGAGTTTCTTTCCTGGTTCTTTTGGTCAAAAGATGAGTTTACTTACAGAATTTTAGGTGCCTGCACATTGCAGCTCTGTGACTGAGGCTGCATTTAGGACATGGCCAGTAGGGAGAAAAGGGAAAAGTGAAAGTTTTGGCCCACCTCCCCAATCCATATGTTATTAATCTTTTGGAGTCCTGAGGTAATTGCTTTTAGTATGTTGTCCAGAGGTTTTAGATGTCATGAATGGGAGTTAGAAGCTGTAGTGCGCTTAACTACATCTAACTGCCAGTGATGCTTATGCATATTTTTTACTGGTCACTTAACCCTTGGAGCACAAACAATGGTTGAGAAGGAGCAGGCAGTTGGCAGTTGTTTTCCCAAGGCTGAAGATTTAAACATTGTAGAGATTCTAGCTTAGATTTCTGAAACATTTGACTGTATTGAGGTAAATCATTTTAGGTCATAGTTATGACAGGAATCATTTGTGTACTCTGTTCCAGACACTATTCCAAAAACTTATATATTCTCCTTTAGTCCTCACAATAAGTCTCTCAGGTAAAGACTGTATTATTCCCATTTTATAAATAAGGAGATTGAGGTAAAGAGAAGTTAGATAATTTGCCCAAGGTTACGTAGATAATAAACGATAAAGCATGATTCAAACCTAGGATAAAACAATTTAGTGTAGCGTACACATTCTTGTTAATATTTTCAAATTTTCAAGTAATATTATGGAAATTTTCATGTACAGACCAGAGTAGAAAATAATGAAGTCCCCATGTATCATTCAACCAATTTCAATAGTTTTTCAATATTCTGCCTTTTTTAGTTTATCTTTTGCCAAATTTTTTTGTTTTGGTAAAGTATCTGAAAGCAAATTCTAGATATTGTTTTAGCCATAAACACTAATGTTTGTATCTAAAATGAATAATAGTTTTTTAAAAATAATATAATCACAGTGTAATCACAACTTAAAAAGTGAGTAAGAATTTCCGTTAGGTCACTTACTATCTCTTTCATGTTCAGTTTTATCTGATTGTCTCAGAAGTATTTTCTTATAGTTGGTTCAATTCAGAATTGCAATATGGCCTACGATTGTATTTGTTGATATGTCTCTTAATTTTTAAAAATCTGTATTGGTCCTAACCCTGACCATTTAAAAACTAATTTTTACTTTTAAAACTCTTTAAAAAATAGGCTTTTCATTTTGATATAATTTATACAGAAAATTTGCAAGGATAGTACAGAGTCCCTGTACACTCCTCACCCACTTTCACTTTTCCATAAATTGATTATCTTACATTACTGTGATGCATTTGCCAAAGCGTGACATCAGCATTGGTACAGTTTTTCTGTTAATGGCCTTTTCCAGTTCAGGATTGAATTAGTTGTCATTCCTCCTTATTCTCCTCTTGCCTTGGATACTTTCTCAGCCTTTCTTTGTTTTTCATGGCCTTGATTTCTTGAGGGGTCCTCACCATGTATTTGGTAGGATATCATACAGTTGGTGTGTGTGGTAGTGTTCTTGGGATTAGATTGGGTTTATGAAATTCTGGAAAAAATACCATAGAGGTAAAATGTCCTTTTTGTGACATTTAAAAAAATCATATAAAAAGTTCACCAGGTTCTAAAGTCAAAACTATAAAACAAGGTACCTACAGAGTAGTCTCACTTTTATCCCTGCACCTTTCTAGTCCTTTCTCCCTTCCCTTAAAGATGAGTATTTTTAATTTTTGTCTTATCCTTCTAATTTTTTAAAATATTGGTGCGCGCGCACACACACACACACACACACACACGCATTCCCTTGGTCTCCTTTGCCCCTTTTCTTACATGAAAGGTAATGTTAGTCCATGTTCTTAAGTCCCACACCGTGTTTTCTCTTTAGGACAGTCTTTAATGATGACTATTCTAATAATGGCTACTTGTATTCAACATGCTTTTGTGCTCTAAAGTTAATTTTTTCTAATAAATAAAAACTTAAAAAATGTTTAAGCACATATCACATGGTTCTTTTTTATTCACAGATATTTTCCAATCTATCCCTGGATGAACGTTGCCTTTCTGCATCGTTGGTTTGCAAGTACTGGCGTGACCTTTGCTTAGATTTCCAGTTTTGGAAGCAGCTGGATCTTAGCAGTCGTCAGCAGGTATATGTAATCTAATTCTAAGAAACACTCAATTTCATCTGTTAAAAACAGCTTTATTCCTCTTCAGAAATCTCTTCTTTAATGTTGTAGTTTCTCAAGGTAGTTCAAATGACTGTAATCTGTAATTCTATACTTCAGTATTTTTGTGTGTGAATTTAGGTTAAAGCTAGGTGCTTATGGTCAAACAGGTATTTTTTAGTGTAGATGGTGATTTGGGGTTGCTTCTTAATCCACTTTGTTTTATTTATGTTTGTCTTCCCCCTTTTTCATTACCCTTTAAAAAAATTAAACTTTCCCCTTTTTGTAAGTGTCAATTCATAAATAATAGTTTAGTAGTAGAAAACAATGGTAAGCGCTTCTGTAGCACTGCTGATATGCCATGGACTGTTCTACAGGTTTATACATATTCATTTTATACTCCCAGTAACCTTATGAGTTGATACTATTATTATCCCTATTAATATGCTATTATTAAAATAATAATACTAATCTTATACTGATATTATAATGAAGTATGGAAGCAAAACGGGCTAAGATAACTTATTTTGTTTTAATTTTACTTTTGATGAATTTTCCAATCTTCCCCATTGCCTGGCTGCTCAATATGTTTATATGCTAGCATAAATTAGGAAAAAAAACAGAGTTAGTAGTACTTATTGCACACAGTTTGCAATTTTTCCTTTAAACTTGGTTGTCAATACTTGCAAGGCATTGGAAATATATAAGAATTTTCAATAAGAGGATTTTATTAGAGTACTAAAATGCTCTAAATGCTTCTGTGACATTGTTAATAGTGGTGTGCTGGTAAATGTGTAGCAACTGGCTTTTAAAAACAAATGGACAAATAAAAAGCTCTGATTTGTAATATTTGCCAGTTTCTGTGGTACAAATACTCCCACTGTAACTAATTTCAGGCTACCAATATGATGTCACTGAATGTAGTGATGTCACTGATTTGGAAAGAGGTACACATTATATTTCCTTCTTTCTTGTGAGTTGGTATAAGCCAACTCCAACATACCACTATTAGTATGTATACATGTGTGTATAACACATACACTTTAAACAAAATGAGCAAGGTTACCTGCCTGGGTTAGGGTAGTAACGTGAAGTAATGTGAAATAATCCATTGGCTCTTTACTTCGATACTGTTGGGTCTGAGCTATGTATTACAAGCTCACACTAAAAATAGCTTTTGCCCTCTGCTGGTAGTTAGGCTTGGAGATGAAAAATATGTAAAAAGGAGATTCTGTCAGAGTTTTAGTTTTGAAGGTAACTAACTGTTTACATTATGCTTTTCCAACAAACATAAGTAAAGATTTAACCTTGGCTCTTACTCCTGGTGTCCCCAATATTCCAGTTCTTTCCTCCTTTTCTTCTAAATTTCATCATGTGCATTTCCTCTCACCATTACTTTTACTCAGAGGATCTGAGTAATGCTAACTCTTTGTTTTGTTTTGAAATGTGGTTATTAGGCAGGGAATAAGTAGAGTTTGAGTCTTTAAAAATTATTTTTAAATTCAGATGGCATGCGAGTTTTTCACCAGATGAATTTTAAGGTTACTTGTAGTTAGCTTTGAGTCTCCTGAGAAAAACTATTTGATATGGACATTTGCATGTAACCTTTGGTGTGCTGATTCACAAAATGATATAAATTTTCTAAGCTATGGAAGAATTTTATATGAAGTAATATTCTGATAGAAGTAGTAAAACAATTGAAATTTATATACTGTGGTATCATCTAATATTGTGTAAAAATTCAAGATTCAGACATCATGATGACTGATATATACTATTCCTGGGTTAAAAATAGAGAACAAAACATCCAAAATCTCAATACAATTTGGAGCAGAGTTTTTGGTGAGTTTGAAGGTTTAATTAAAGTAAGTTTCCCTAAGAAGGATAGATTTTGAGGTTTTTAATGAAAACTAACACATATATTCTTTCTTGGTGTTTTGTGACACCACTCTGACATCAAATGTGTGGAGTTTTTTACATTCTAACAACAATTCTCTGATACCAACTTGGTGTCCAGTAATTCAGTTCAATTCTGACACTAACTTTTAGAGTTAGCACAGACCTCACAGGTTAAAGGCTCAGTCTCATAAGACTGTTCCCACTTCGTATACTAGTCACAAGTCCCAGGAGCCACTTATACTTCCACTGGTCAGTATAAATTTGGGAGTTCCCCAAACCACTTCCTCAGGTTTGATAGATAATTTGCTGGATTGACTTACAGAAGTAAGGAAGATGCCTATGCTTATTGGTTAATTATAAAGGGTACCACTCAGGAGCAGCCAAATGGAAAAGATGTGTAGGGCAAGGTTTTGGATACCCACCTGGGCACCTCACCCTCTCAGCATTTTGATGTGTTCACCAACCCAGAAGCTCTTCAGACCTCATTATTAAAGAGTTTAACAACCCAGTCAATCGCAACTCCACTTCCCTCCCAGGAAGTCAGGGAGTGAGGCTGAAAGTTTCCTCTCTCTAATTACGTGGTGTTTGGTCTTTCTGGTGACCCATTCCATCATGAAGCTATCTAGGGGTCCCAACTTAAGTCATTTCATTAGTATAAGCTCATATGTGGTCAAAGGGGGCTTGTTACAAATAATAAGAGACTCCTGTCACTCAGGAAATTGCAAGCGTTTTAGGAACTCTGTTCAAAGAACCAGAATCAAAAACCAAATATATTTTTTATTATACAACAGTTCTTGTTGTGCTTTAATATTAAGTAGAAAGGTTTTCTTATGATTGTGGTTTTCATGTTATAACCTAATTATATTGTTTATTGGAGAAAATTTAATAAGAGAATAGAAAATAAGTTTCTATATTTAGCAGAAGTTTAAACTTACCGCTTTTTTTTCCCTCATAGGTCACTGATGAATTATTGGAAAAAATTGCATCAAGGAGTCAAAATATAATTGAAATCAACATTTCTGATTGTCGCAGTATGTCTGATACTGGCGTATGTGTTCTAGCATTTAAGTGTCCTGGACTTCTTAGGTATACGGCCTACAGGTGTAAACAGCTTTCTGACACCTCTATTATTGCGGTTGCCTCTCACTGTCCTTTGCTTCAGAAAGTTCATGTGGGCAACCAGGACAAGCTAACTGATGAAGGACTGAAACAGGTAAATTTTAGCTCTATAAGTGATTCAACTCACATTAACTCAAAATGTTTCCTTGTAGCAACACTTTAAAAGATTGTTATATTAAAAATAATGCCCAGAGACTAAAAGAAGTCATCTTTTTATGTATCCTTGAATATTTGTTTGGGTTAGTGAACTAGTTAGTGTGCCATTGTTTAATAGATAAATTAACTTGCTTGTGTTTTGTAGTGAGTGCCTGAACTTCTGTGAGCAGCCATTTTATTAATTTATTCTTTTGTTACTTAAATTTTGTACCAGATTTTGCTTTAGGTAACAACAGTATACAGTTTGGGTCAGCATGAAGTTTTAAAAATTAACCTTTAATTTTCCTTTTTTTTTAAAAACTTCTCAGAAACATTTATTTATAATGACATTACTGAAATGTCATCTGTGTGCTAAACCATTGCAATAGACCACCAGTGTAGTCCAAGTAACTCGAGTGTGATTTCTGACAGAACTCTTGTAATATGTCCCGCTATTGTCCACTTGGTTCATTCCACCCAAAAGTCATCATTAAAAATTCCAGACTTCCCTTTTATGTTACTGAATAACTTGCTTAAATGCTTTAAAATACCTGTTGTAAGGCATAAATGAAAGCCAGGTTAGAGAACAGAAAATGAAGAAACAGGTGATAATTATCTATACTTAGCACAACAATCAGATTAAAAATAGTATGAGGTATATTTTATGTTTGATCCACTTCCTTTGGAAATGGTATTTAACGTTTTTTGTCTCAGAGTTGATTATTCATTTGATGAATATTGAATGGATTCTATGCACCAAGCCCTGAATTTGTGAATATTTTGAATATTTGATAGTGTTCCTACTATTTTCCTAGGCAATTTTTGTATTTTTACTTTTAGCCCTTGAAATAATTTTGCAAAACAGTTGATATCAAACTCATTTTGTAAAGGAGGAAATTAGGGCTTAGAGAGATTGATGAGTTTGCCTCATGTTTATCAGACGGTTGAGCTGAGAGTTGAAGCCTGGATTCTCCAAAGCCACTATTGTCTTTCCATGCTTTCAGGCCAATAGACAGTACTCTTCTAGACCTCAAATAAAGGAGCCTGCTTCATGAGGGCAGAGGCCATGCACATTTACCTCTTTACTTATAGTACCCTTGGTCACAGTTGTTGAAAGAATTAATTAATAATTCCATTTAAGAACTTTGTCAGGAATAATGTTTAAATTTGGAATTGGGATACAGTCTAAACACTCCCAATAAAACTCTCAGTAAAGTCCTAGATTTAAATTTGATCTGAGATGAAGTTAGACATAAAATGAAGATCCCTAAATTTAAGAACTACATATGAATTAACTGACAACTTTAAGACTAATTAAGTAAATCTTCCCTAGAATGTGAGGTATTTTGGAACCCATTAATTTATGATAGATTAGATATTTGCTTCAGATTTGCATGGTGTCTAAACTGTGAATTAGTTATATAGAAGGTAATAATCTGATAGAAGTAGTAAGACAATGTGAATCCTTTTCATCCTGAAGTAATTTTTTTAAGTGACTGCATTATATTAAGTAATTACATAGGAGTCTCATTGCAGTGTAGAGAGTCATAATTTCCTATGCTTAAGACTGTGCTATAGTAGGAGTGTCCTATTTTAGCCTCTTCCTGCTGATGAAATGGTGTTGTGACATAATAGAAAGAGAAGGCCATTTCTACATATATAAAATAGAACGAAAAGTTTTATGAAGCAGTATGTAGCCTTATGCACAGTACACATTCATGTTTTCTATTCTATACTACAGGGTGGGCAAAAGGAGGTTTACAGTTACATTGTGACATTCTTTTGAGTTAAAGCTATTGTAATAATCATAACCTGCATGTCTTTCTGTATGAACAACTGTAAACTTACTTTTGTCCACCTCTATTATTTTAAATAAATGTTGGCCTTGATCCACTTAGTAAATTAATTTCATGACCTAGTGATGTGTGATGAGTTCTGCTATGGAAGTATATTATAGTGTTAGTGAACTAACAACTTAAAATATGTAATAAAGTTTTAAAAGGCCTAGAATGAAGTACTTATAATTTATGAATTTTCTTGGGATTATTATTATTTTTTTACTCATAAACATAGGAAGTGGTTGAATTGTTGATTCTACAGATCAAGTTGCAGGTTCGCTCCCCCCCTTCTGTTAGTAAAAACTGACAGATGCTTTAGAATGCTATACATGTATTTTATTGATAATGTTTTAAAGTGTATTTATATCATAAATATAATTTTGATTGACTCTAGCAAATACATGACTCTAGCAAATGTGGTGTTTGAGTTCTGTTTATAAAAGTAGTTACATAAAGAGATTAATCAGCCTGTAGCCAGAGTGCTTTGAATCCTTTCCTGATCTTCTTCTGGACCCTGGCCTTGGAAAAGCAGATGCTGTTGTGCATCTTGGTCCTGTCCAACTGCAGGTAGCCCAAGCAGACAGGACCTCAAGCCGAGTGTTGTTGATAGCTCCAAACAGGGTACTCAGGGCCAGTCACAAACTGTATCTGACATTGGCCTGCACCAGAGACCCTCCAAAAAGATTTAGAGTCCTAGAAGATCTACCTAATACATAGAAACAAACCCGAGCAGGCAGCCAAAATGGGGAGACAAGAAAACAAGCCTCAAATGAAAGAACAAGAGAAGTCACCAGAAAAAGAGCTAAATGAAATGGAGATAAATAATCTATCAGATATATAGTTCAGAATACTGATTGTAAGGATGCTCAACAACATGAAAAAAGATATGGAAACTATGAAGGAAATTAAGAGTGACATAGTAGAAATAAAGAATACGCTGGAAGGAATAAACAGCAGATTAGAGGAAGCTGAGGATCTGATCAGCGAATTAGAAGACAGGATAGAAAAAAAATCAATCAGAGATCCCAAAAGAAAAACAATTGAAAAACAGGACAGTTTAAGGGAGCTGTGGGACACCATGGAACATAACAATATTTGCNGAGATCCCAAAAGAAAAACAATTGAAAAACAGGAGGACAGTTTAAGGGAGCTGTGGGACACCATGGAACATAACAATATTTGCATTATAGGAGTGCCAGAAGGGGAAGAGAATAAGCAAGGGATATATAACCTGTTTGAAGAAATAATGGCAGAAAACTTCCCTAACCTGATGATGGAAAAAGTCACACCAGTTCAGGAGGCACAGAGAGCCCCAAGCAAGAAGAATTCAAAGAGGCCCATGCCCAGACACATCACAATTAAAATGCCAAGAACTCAAGACAAGGAGAGAATTTTAAAGGCAGCAAGAGAAAAGCAATCTGTTACCAATAAAGGAGCTCCAATAAGGCTGTCAGTTGACTTCTCATTAGAAACTCTACAGTCCAGAAGAGAATGGCATAAAGTATTCAAGGTAATGGAAAACAAGGGTCTGAAATCAAGACTACTCTATCCAGCAAGACTATCATTCAAAAAAGATGGTGAAATAAAGAGCTTCCCAGAAAAAAAGGCTAAAGGAGTTTATCACTACCAAGCCAGCATTGCAGGAAATGTTAAAGGATCTGCTGTAATTAGAAGTAGAAATAGAGAGAGAAACACAAGCATAAAGAATTAAAATGGTAATAGATAAGTATCTATCAATAATAACCTTAAATGTAAATAGATTAAATGCTCTAATAGAAAGATACAGGATGGCTGAATGGATAAGAAAACATGACCCAAATATATGCTGTCTACAAGAGACCCACCTCAGAACAAAAGACTCACACAGAATGAGAGTGAAGGGATGGAAAATTTTTTTCCATGCAAGTGGAAGTGAAAAAAAAAGCTGGGATAGCAATATTCATATCAGACAATAGACTTCAAAATGAAGACTGTAACAAGAGAGAAGAAAGGTTGTTACATAATACTAAAGGGATCGAACCAACAAGAGGATATAACCCTGATAAACATGTATGTACCCAATATAAGAGCCACGGCAATCTTGAGAAAGAAAAACAAAGTTGGAGGGATCATAATACCAGATATCAAGTTATACTACAAAGCCACTGTAATCAAAACAGCCTGGTACTGGCACAAGAACAGGCATATAGAGCAGTGGAACAGAACAGAGAACCCAGAAATTGACCCAAGCCGTTATGCTCAGTATTTGTCAAAGGAGGCAAGAACCTACCGTGGAGAAAAGACAGTCTCTTCAATAAATGGTGTTGGAAAAATTGGATAGCTACTTGCAAAAAAATGAAACTAGACCACCAACTTGCAGTCTACCTAACAATGTTTCTTAAACTTATGGTGAAACACCTGAACGTCAGGCTGTTTTTGGCTGAATACTGTATTTTTTTGTAAAATGCCACCTTGATACTTTTATTTTCAGAAAAATAGCTGGTAATAATTGTACCAATGGAATGTATTTCTATTATACTCATCTCATAAAACTATGATAATGTATTATGGGGGTAAAAAGAGCTAGTTAATTAAAAATAATACTCTATTTCAGTTTTTCTAGTACTTTATTACAATTTGGCTCTTGCCAGAAAATAAGCGAAAGCAGTAGCCAAAGTATTCAAAGAAATGTAAGAAATTATATCCTTTAAGTTAATATTTTATATGACTCTTTGTGTTTTATTTTAGCAGTATAACACCTCAATCCAATTCATGGGTCTCTGTAGAAATTTCTAGAAATAGTCTCTGTATGCATCTTCTAAAATTAAAATGGCACAAAAACACATGTTGTATTAGTAAATTTCAGCTTCTTTTTCCTTCTCATTCAGATCTGTTTATTTACTATTTACTATGTTATAGTTACAATGAGAAAAAACAGGTTTGGGAACAAATATCACTGTCATTTGGCAGTTCCCCCCCCCTCAAGTTTTAGTGACATTTGCTATTTCAATTTATTGATTTTTCTGTGGTAAAATATACATGAAATTTGTCATTTTAACCATTTTAACTGTATAATTCATTGTCATTAAGTACATTTATAATGTTGTATAACCATCATGAATATCCTCTTCCAGAACTTTTC